AACCATTGTCATATTCGGAATCAGCATAGTCGATAACCTATTCTCCACTAGGTTTCAAGAAAAAAGCGAGCGGACACTTGGGGCAGTTCCCTCGTTATTGTGAGAGAACAATTATCATTAGCAACACGACAACAACAAGAGCAAAGACGACAGACACTTATCATTCAAATTTCATGCATCATGTTCTTGCTTCGTCAAGGTCTTGCCTTTAGAGGATATTCAGATGAAAATAGTAATTTGATTCAATTGCTCAAACTTCGAAGTATTGATAATAACTTTTTGAAGCAATGGATCGATGAGAGGAAATATTTATCACATGATATTATTAGTGAACTTTGTAAAGAAATTTATCTTACAATTATAAGAGATATTGTGAAAGAAGTATGTGCAAGCTGCATAGTGCAACTTAGTTTCGTTCACAGAGCCACCAAAAGTTATTCTGTGACATTTATCGAACCGTTTCTCGAAAAAATCTTAGATGTTTTCTTGAAAAATGCAACACTAGACTGTTTTCTCCTATAATTCTTGTGAATTCACAGAATGTGAATGTGAATTCACTGAAAGCTCTTTATTAGTTTAATATGTTAATGGTAAAACATGATGTACTAATATAGTTTAATACATTGTATCTAATGTATAATACAATTAAATATTTATATTTGATTGTTGATTAAAGAGAAAGAGGAAATTTGAGCTAATTAGAACGTTCATGGATTTATATTCCTAGATTTTAGATGAGATTAATTTTAAGTTATACTAAGTTGAAACTTTGACAGAGAAACCCGTTCTATCTCGACAACGACGACCACCAAAACGTTATGAGTCAAATTCAAGAATTCCTGATTTCAATACTTGTGAAGAAATTCTTCACAAGTATTGAAATTCACCAATATCTAATCCATATCGAGTTAATGTATCAAGAATTGCTTCAACAATTGTTGGAGCATTTTGTCTGGATATTTCATAAAGACCGATAACATCTTCAAAAACGTTGTAGTTATTATTAACAGATCTGACGGTAATATTTAATTGTTCAAGTGTTGATTCATCTATTGTTTCATCACATATCAATGAAAACCATTTTCTGTTAGAGATCTAAACATAAAATATGACAATAGTTTCAACTTAGTATAACTTAAAATTAATCTCATCTAAAATCTAGGAATTTTTCTACAAGCTTACTTTGATTTTGCACATGATCCAGTTTTCCAAAAGCACCATTGTTTTCGATCCAGTCTTTCTCAGTGATTTTCACACTAAGCTTGGCACTTAGAAAAAAGGTTCCAGTGGCAAAGAGATAGAGGGGTTGCTGAAGTATATGACCTGCTATTAAAATTTCAAAAACTCTAACTTTCATTTTCTCACCTAATTGTCACGTTGTTGCCTACTGTGAGTGTGCGAGTTTAATATAGGAAGAACTGTAAGTTATATTGTAAAAGTAAGAACTCCTACCATCATCTACAGTTGTTTAAAGAAATACCAAAAGAATTTAAAGAAGCGTACCTTTATGCTGCCAAAGCAAATTATTACAAAAAAATAAATGATAAACTTTGCGCGGCTTCTAAAAATTGCTGGTGTCTAATAAAACACACCTTAGATAAAGAACGTAGTACAAGTATTTCAGCTTTGTTAAGACTAGAATGCCCGGAAATTTTCATGATCTAGAACATTCAAAGCGGTCATTTTGACCGTTACTGTTTTTTTTTAAAATTGTATACTTAAAAATGGTTCTGAATTCAAAAATGAATTAAAAATGCTGCAAAAAATAATTTTTGTGGGATAAATTAAAAGTTATGACATAATTTGTTTTTAAATAAATTGTATGCAGCTTGTTTTATTAAGGATAAAAATCACAAAACGGTCAAAATGATCGCTACGGGCGTTCTAGTGTTAAATAGTTCGAATAAAATAGTGGTAGATACATTGGAGAAAGTAGAGATTCTGAACCGTTATTTTGCGGAAGTTTGTACTTGAACTGGGCCTCTTATAGATCCTAGAGTTGCTGATTCTTTAAATGAATTTGTAGTTAGGATTAATAAGTTTGTGTTGAAATAACTTTACGTAACCCAGATGCAAATCGTGCATGTGCACCTACAATTGCTAACCATATGGTAAAAAGTATGATATCTTCTATCGTGAAACCAGTTTCTAAACTCGTTTACGAGTCATTTGAATCTTCTATTTTTCCTGAAAGCCAGAGAAATAATTAATTCTCTATATAGAGTGGGTTTTTATTGCTAGGAAGTTGAGTTATGACGGCGAAAATTGAGAATTACGGGTAGAATCCCGACTATTTCGCCTTTGCTTTTTTTCGTTGTACCGGATTTCAAAGGCCCAAACTTTTGACAACAGTTTTGAATAGTGTACTGTCAGTACTGTCGACCAAAACTAGTCCGACTCTATCCTAAGTGGCCGACCTTGAGATCGATGGGTAACAAAAGTAGCCTCTGAGCGCTTCTTAATGTCGTTACGCAAGGTGGAGGATTGAATGATACGTAATAATTGTATGCCAGTATATAGTAGACATGGAGTACTATATACGACGAAAAAATCATGACCCTACCCCTTTGCGTTCTCGAGATATATCGATTTTATGTTTTTCACTCATTTATTTTCTCGAACGAGGTTGTTTGCAAAACATTGTGGTATCTACAGAACGAAAAGATTAAGAAAGCTAAAAACTTGGAGTTATAGGTTTTCGAGTATACTGTACAAGATGAGACTAATCAAAGTCAATTCTGAAAAATTGATTGAGCATGGCTTGTTGCGGCTCTCGTACACTGACTGGTAGGCTTCCCTGTGAAAGGGCGGCAGAAACAAAAAATGGGTCGAAAACCGGTTTTTTAGAGTTTTTCACTCTCAGCTGCCATGAGAAGGGCCTGCCATGGTCTGAATGACTTTGTCTATATGTAATTCACTGTGCTTTATCCAAATATGTGAGAATCAAATTGATTGGGCAACGCTTCGGCCCTGAAACCTCCAATAGCCGTCTCCGACTTGTTGACTGTCAAAGGCACACCTAGAAACCTTAATCCAATAAGCTATTTACACTGAAGGTAGATTACACAGCGCTCTTTCTAATGGTGTGTCGTTCAAGTCAAAAATCAATGTCTAGAGCCTTCATGTGACCACAATAGACTTTGTCATAGGTCGTAGTTATGCCAAGGGAACTCTTAATCACTTTTCTCTATGAAACTGAAGATCTCTAATCATTCATGCATCATTCGATGCACCTTGAAAAGCTCTACAACATGTGTTAATAGGAAACTTATCAACGCTTGACAGCGATTTTTGTGTATTAAATACTTCGCCACTTAGTCCCACATAGGCATGCAACGGTGACGATTATCGTCTCACTGGTTATCGGTCCTTATCGATAAAACTCTTCTAGGGGTTACCGTTTAAGCAGTTAGTGGTTCGTTGCGTCGGATACGCATTTGTCTACTTCTTTTTTCTTTTCTGTGTACCGTTATTAGTTACAGAGCAATCATAACTGTTTTAAGAGTATGTGTTACGGAAAACATTGTCACATCAATGATCACTTTTTTCTTACTTTACTTTGTGAAATTATTTTTAGCAGTCTTGCCCTTTTTCGTGGAGTGTTTTCGCATGAGGACCAGAGTAACTTTGAGAAGTTTTATCTGTCCGTATCGAGTTCCTCTGCTCTCTGGAGGTTGTGTACTTTGACTATGTATTGCGTGTTTAGATTGTTCATTTTTCCTCTTCACTTTATTGAGAATGACCAACACAAAAGTATATAACAAAAATCACGTAGAATCAAAAGAAACAAATCATCAAATAATTATAATCAAATGTAGATACATGTAGAGAAAAATAACTGTGTACATATATAAACGCAACTGTCCTTGAGCTATATCAACCTTATTCATATAGCACAGAAAAAAAACTACTTTTCTTGATTATTTATCACTTGCTGGAATAATGGCACAATAATGGCATCTTAAAATAACTCAAAAATTTAAACGTATAAAATATATCTAACACACTCATATACTCTCACACACAGTCACACACTCTCGCGCACAAACTCTCTCACATACATTCACACACTCTCTTACCCTCTCAAATACATTCACACACTCTCTCATTCTCTCAATTAAACTTTATTAGTTTTATCGGTAAGAAGCGATAATTGGTAAGATATGATAAAACCGATAATGATAAATCGATAAATTATCGTTACCGTTGCAAGCCTAGTCCCACAGTGAATCCAAGAATTGTTCGCCACTTTTATTTTTCATTTTTCTCGTCGATAATGACAGCTAGAATAAATTTGAAAAAAGATTTGAACAGCTGAAAGAATTTTCGATTTCAGCTGTTGTATACACAGGTTCCATCGAAACTTCTAAAATCGGGGTGTCTGGAAACCCCAAATTTCAAAAAACCAAGTCGTCGACTTCAGTCTAGAAATTCTTTACAAATACATTCATCGTGTAGAGCAAACATTTCTGAAGAAAATGAGACGTCTCCCAGCTCTTTACGGCATTTATTCATGGAGCAGCATTCAATATATGGAAGGCCTTAAGGGCGTATCTTCTTGTTTTCCCGTTAGTTTTGCTGCTATGGAGAATCACTCTGATTCTTACATATTTGGATAAAGTACAGTGAATTACATATAGACAAAGTCATTCAGACCATGACAGGCCCTTCTCATGGCAGCTGAGAGTCAAAAACTCTAAAAAACCGGTTTTCGACCCATTTTTTGTTTCTGCCGCCGTTTCACAGGAAAGCATTTTGATGAACTGTGAATGCGATTTTCGTGATCA